GGTGCGTCAAAGTCTCCCACCACTAGGCGTCGGCGTTTATCCGTCCAAAGGGCAGCTTATTTGGGAGGAAGCCTACCGCCTCACATTCAGGGCTCCGATATACCACGACTACGTTAAAATCTTGTCCCTCGCACTTCACATGTCTCAATTTCATGTGCAACCATTTCTACGGCTTTTACAGTTAAGGTATTTTCAACGCAAAGGATAACACCACCACCTCAGCTGCAAACCTATCGCTCCTAAAAGGAACCAATCCTCACGCGTTTCATAGTCACTGATCCATGAAGAGAGCCAAGTTTCTGGGACAATAATGACGTCAGTATTTCCTTTGCCTATCACATTACTAAGCTCAGACCACCTTGTTAACAGACTAAGCGCATTTGTGTACAAGACAGTGAAACTACCTGAGTGAGTTTCCGTCCTATCCACAGAGGCTTTAGCACCATTTGTTGCCGAAAAATCACTACACGAAAACCCACTGCTCTCAAATCTTGCTCTCCTGCTGCCAATCTGGATTTTAGTCCTGCTTCTACTTCTATTGTTTAATCCGGTCAGCAGGACCTGAAGCCTTACGCGCGGACACTCCAGATCCTTGAAGCATATGGGCGTTCCTCGAAATCTAATCCCCCTCATCTGTTGACTCGAACATGCCCTCAAGTAGCTGAAACTTGTTCTAGGCAATGACTGTCTCCTGTTTGCCTACTGTATACACTTGAGTGGGGTGACTCCTGGCATGTTTTCCGGTAAAAGCTGGTTTATCAAGCTGTGTACCTTGTCAAGGTCATGTTCGAAACGTTTGCATGGACGTGGGTCCCTGCTTTCCTCCACTCTGTGAAAGATTGCAGACCTATTGGGGAGCCCTACTTTGCCTTTGCTCTGTGGAGCGATGACAGCCGGTTCGACGATTGTTACCGACTTCTGGACGTGGCGTTTAGACTTGATCATTTGCAGCCTCTCAGAGTTGGGTATGCGAAACTTACTAGAGCCTGGTCCAGTGGCCTTGACCTACAGCTTGTCGTGGGACGTCCCTAAAATATTACACAGTGATTTGTGTCGTTATAACCATCACAGTTGTCGGCTTCCCCTTTCAGCGCTAGTTTCTTCGTTATCGTACCTAGGAGTGCTTTTGCTCCTTCTACCGGAGTGTGAGTATCCGAGCAACACAACGTGCACAGCCGGGCGCTTCACGAGTTATTGTACCTCTTATATGCTAAGAGTGTGAGGCTTATGCAATTGTCGTGAAACCAACTCTTACACTCGCTACATTGCATGCCAAAGGCCACAGTGAAGTGGAACTCGGCCATACACAAGCATGTTTAAGACACGTTCGGTTCACCATGTAGTAGAAACCAGAGAAACACCCAGTAAAATTTCCTGCCCCACTTTAATGAAATAACATTCCGATTAAAGCAAACATACGACAGTCTTTGATAAGTGACCACAAAAAATGCCAAGAATCTCGCTGGACGTGAAAAGCCACTCCCCTTTGCAAACAGCGCGCGTTATTCTTCATTCTCGCTGTTTCTGACACCTTTTAAGTAACACTCAATTTTTACCTCCAGGTGCTTAGAAAACAGTAATGGTTGGAGGTTAGTTGCCTTGTCAGCGGCCCCGTTGCCCCTCCCCCCAAAAAGCAAGCCACAATTTGCGCGAAAATCACCTTCAAGTAGATAGTCACCAATACCAAGACCATGAGCTGAGAAGACGTTAAGACTTCTGAGACCACTGGGAGAGAACAGTCGAACAAAAGGAACCGAGCCTGAATACCCAGAAGCAAGAGCTCAAAAATTACAAGTTTTCTTTACTCGCACTGTTGATACTGGATCCCGTTGGATCAGTTTTGGGGGGTAACCATCCATCTCTCGGAAGCCCGTACTACAGAGGGATCAAGCCATACGGAGTTTGAACTTTCTATAACTATGGAAATATTAAAGAACTTAGACGCAGATAGGCCTCCTGGAATTGATGGGATTCACGCAAGAGTACTCCAGCTGTGTGCTGAAGTTCCGAGCGCCCCACCAGCAAACCTCTTCAAATGCTGCTTTCTGGAATGCAGGTGACCGTCTGATTGGGAACGGATGGCTTCTGTCCTAATATATAAAAATGAAAACAAACTGCTTGCCTCCAACAATGGACCAATCTCCCTGATCTCTTCAGTTGCGACGGTCATGTTGAGAGTATTAGGTGAGTAATTTTGTGATCGCCTACCTAAGAAATCGATCTTAAACGACCGTCAGCATGGCTTTTCACCTGGAAGGTCATGTGACACCGACCTGTTAAGAAACTGGGATTACTGGACTTTTCCGTTGAGCAGAAAAGCTCATTCACGTCGGTTTACCTGGCTTTTCGAAAGCCTTTGACGGGGTAAGTCATGACATCCTGTGTAAGAAACTTCAGCTTATGGGTGTACACGAAGAATTATTCTTTTGGCCCAGAGGTCATCTTTACGTCAGGTTGTAGTCAGTTGGAGTTGGCTCCTCCCCATCTAATTTCTTCCAGATGCTGACTGGCGTGCCTCAGGATTCTATCCTGGAGATGTCGTGTGTTTTGGTTTTTTCTCGTAATGTATTCAAAAACATCGGCCACTGATTTTGCTCGACTGAATTCAATTTGCTTGTACCACCATATTTAACCTCTCGTCTCGATTAGTATCACCACTGTGTCTCGCTCTGGATAGAAACTTCAGTAGCCATCAAAATTGAAGGTTTTTAACTAAGTTTTGTACATATATTTTGTTGTAAAGAACAATTTACACGGAGTTCACTTACTGTTTGAATATACGTTCGTTGTTTAGCAACCGATTGTCTTGGATTTTGTTGGAACCCTGGAAATTCGTATCTTCGTTACATGCTTCCAAGTGGATTTGCCGTAACACAAGTTCCTCAGTTTCGCTCCACACTTTCAGCCGATGATATGACTCATTCCCCCTTGGAAAAAAGTTTCAATATTTGGGATAATCTGCTCCTTCCAATATATCTTCGGATCTCAGCAATCCAGCTGCTAAACGAGTTGATAATACTGAATCTAGACATCAGAGGAAAGCCTCGCCTGTGGATGATAGGTTGGAATTTTCTAGTACCTCGTGTGATGATAAGGAGGATGAAGTGGGCGTTGGTGGTATTAGCAAGCACGGTTCATGTGGTAGGCCTGATTATGTTAGTTACCAGGCACCTAAACCTTTGTCTAAGGAGAAAAGGTTAGGAAGGGAATTAGAATCAAGCGCCGCATCGTCTTATGATGCATTAGGAGTTGAGGATAGGACAGACAGTCATTCTAAGACCAAGAATGCTGCTGGATTACCTGAACCCGGCGATATGCAATACAACTTTGCATCGGATTCGAGTTGTTTGGCTTCGATGGTGAACAGCATCTCGTCACCGAGGATAGAGCTGATATACTTTCATGGACAGCCCAGTCAACACCAGTTGTGTATGAGTCGGTTTCGAAATACAATAGAGACCAAACTTATTGACAAGGGCCAGACGTTGTCCAATATCTAACACTTTTGCAGAAGGCAAGGACAGAGATAGAGGCAGGTATTTCGTTGCCTGCTGACCTCGAATATGATAGGGCTGGCGAAATCCTTCGTGATTTGTTTGGACAGGAGAATTTGGTTGCCCGAACACTTGTTGATGACTTAGTTAGAAATGGTCACTCGGTGGAGTATAACGTTGAGGCTACGAATGAGTTCTGTGTGAAACCTAGTCACGTGCAAACAACAATGTCACAGACCAGTAATGTCGGGGACTTGAAGTTGCCGGTCAACTTAGAGGCCACTGTCAGTTGGCTACCCATAGATATGCAGAGTAGGTGAGCTGACGTAGCAGACAGGATATTCGTCTCTGGGAGAGAACCCGAATTACACGTCTAAACGTACAACAAAGGAGGGATACGGGAAAATGCACCATAAATTTGTTTAAGGAATGGAACAACATGAATGTAAGCAGTTGGTAAGCATTCAACAGTTTGCAAGGTCACTGAAGCCCAATTCTGTAGGTGGCGCTCCAGACAAGCTCTGGTGTACGTCTTTAACAAAAGTCTACGTGCTCTTTCCGAGTTTGCCTGAGCTAATAACTGGATTTCATACATCACTGGTAGAGTTAGCATTCGCATTCTTCCAGTGTCTACATTCACCTGGTTACATTCAATATGCGTCTAGTTGCAGTCTCGTAACCATCTTGTAGAGTGTCGGATTACGTCTGCAAAGAAGTGAAGTAACGTTCAAGAAGACTCACGGAAATCACAAGACAGAAATCTACGTACTTTATGAAACAAACGTGTCACATTACTGGGGTAGATCAGTTTCCGGAAGTTTCGATAGTCGCCGTACGTCATTAGCTTCCTGAACTCTACGTCAGACACATTAATAATGTGACCTAGTGGTGCATTCTGTTCGTTCAGAGGTAAAATCTTCCTTTGCCGTTCATCATAGAGTCTTCGAACTCCTGGTCTCACAGATAATGGCTCTGATGACATGTCGTGGCTACGTATAGTGTCAACAGGCTCTACAAACTCATGACACCAAAGACTCAGTTTATAATGGAAGGTGATTGGGCAACCCAAGAGCTTGAAACTCCAATGTATATGTAGTAGATTTATTACAGCACTTACTGTGATTTCCGCTGATCGCTACTTCCTGACTTCCCTCATCGACCAACGTGGCAACGAGAAACAGCACACTCGAACTTGAATGCCTGGTCTACGTTATTTTTCCCCACCCTATTTATGAGAAAACGACAAATCCGGTACAAAATGTTAGTTTCCTTTAGAACTTAATGATTACTTCATTAATTAAGCAATTCAACTCTTGAAATCGTCTGATGCACGCTTCACACACCTGCCATGTTTCTAAGCTTCTAATCCTCACAAGTTGTCTGAATTGAGCCACCAAATTTACTGGTTCAACATTCTATCTGAAAGATATTTTGGTGCTCTTTCAACAATGCCGATTGTTACACTGATGCGTCCATACAGCGTGAGAACTAATCCTAGAGGTTAACAAGATTAGAAAGTAGCACCTCGGCTTTTCTGAGGGACTTATAATACTGACCAATCAGAGCGATGCCAGTTAACACTTTGTCTCACACGCGCGAAGTTTGGGATTGCATTTTGGAGGTTGAAATAATATCAGGCTACTGTTGCTCAGTCAGCTGAGGTGGTTTATAAATAGGGAAGCATATTAGTCCTAGCATGCTGTTGACTATGCATATGTACACTTAGTCGTGGTACAGTAACTGTGAAAAAAACTAATATTTAATTTAAGAAGTTAAATAAGTTGTAAAACTTATTGACGGTCAGCGTTAACTGTAAAAGTTACCGTACTAGAGTTTGCGAGATGCCATTGGAAGTCGAATACACTAGTGCAAACGTAATTACCTTGATTTTCACCGCAGTCCTGCACATTTTATTGATAGATGCCTGTAGTTTTATCCTTATTCCCTTGTTCACCGTTCATGGTGAACATTTCATCGTCTGCTTTGTCCCCTTAGCTGTTATGCAGTAATGTAGGGTCCCGTGTTTATAATGACGATCGACCACTTTGAGTGTATTGGCTGACCTAACGAGCATGCATTCGCCTAGATGTTTGTTCTGATCTGCTGTTGTTTATTGTAATGTGTGATTCTCAGTGGTCTTCTGTTTATGGTAATTTTGCTATGCTTTAACTTGTAGATTTCACACTTGTTTGGAGGACTGTCATCTTCAGTTTCTCGCTGTGTTTACTTGTGTCAGTACAAGCAGACTGACTACATTCACAATGGTACGTTGTTACATCTTCTTTGTATTTGTTGGTTGATTACTAGGTTGATTTGAGCGAGAAAGACCTTAACGGTAGGTTTTCTATGATTTGGTAATTGTAAATAGATGTCCACGAAACATTTCTACTATTCGACTCGAAAGGAGATGAGAAAATCTCTGCGAAGGATGTGAGTGAAGTTGTGCGTGCACTGGGGCTGAATCCGACGGAGTCAGACATCAGCAAATACGGTTATCAAAATCATCCAAGTATGTTTTGTTGTCTTTTAGTTGTGAAAAGAGTGTTAATACGGCATTGTCTCTGTGAGATAAGTGACAAAAAGAGATAATTGTATTTTGCAAGGCTTAATATTGTTGAAGGGAATAAACAATATAACTTCCTATCTACACATTTGTATTGAACCAACCAGGACTCATTCCATTAGTTCCAAGCTTCCAAACAAACGGGTGTGCTGACAGCTGAATTTCGGATCATGTTGGTAATGACTAAAGACAACCAGGCAAATATGGACTGACATCAGTTGGAGACCCTAGGTGATATGGCTCAGAACCGAGGTCAGTGGCGCAGATGTATACACACATTATCCTCATCTTAACAACGCTATACCGAATCTCATCATTTTGTCACTCCTCTTCCTTTCTTCTCGTACTTTATATTTCTTTTGACTGCATCCACTTATCTTCATCCTTCGCCTCAATACCTTTTTACTTGATGTGCTGATATGAGGTGTGGCGACTTGGACCGTTACGCAGTAATGCCTGGTCCTATGTTGATAATGATGATGATGACCTACCTGAAATCGATAAACCCGTACGAAGTCCCAAATTGAAATATTTTTTCTGATAGTCGACCTCCAATCAGAGAATCCTCAGTTCACATACCACTGTCTCGGCAACCGAGTAGTGCAGTTATCCCTAACCATAACTGTGTTTTTCGTAAGATTGGGTGTGCGTAGATGTTAAAGGGTTATTACTCTTGTCCTTAAAGACATGTTTAATTGAATTTTGAGGGAATTGTGGGGATCTGGAAACATTTCAAGTTGTTATTTGTCGTAGTCTGACATCAGTTGGAGGAAAAAGGAAACCTGGGAGCACTGGACAGCTGTTTCGTCCTAATATGGGACTTGGGACTCCTCAGCAGTGCGCACCCACGAATTTCAGGTTCCATGGCCAGCATGTTACCATTGAGCCACTGGGTCAGAACCCAATCGTCCGTATTTCCAACTTCTGTTAGCTCACGATACAGCGCAACCGCAACATGTTTAATAATTGAGAAGATGGTTTTGATGCACTCTTTTACACTGAGATCATTGCTGTCAGTTAATCGATTAGATTTCTCTTGTGTTTTTCTTTTGCAGATGAACGTATCAGTTTCGAGTCTTTTGTTCCCATTTATCAAGGTTTGTCAAAAGAACAATTGGAAGTTGAACCAGAAGCTTTTATTGAGTCGTTTCGTGTCTTTGATAAAGATGATAATGGATTGATAAGTGCAGCTGAACTTAGACATTTGCTGACAGCATTTGGTGAAAAACTGCGTGATGATGAAGTGGATATTTTATTATCTGGTCTTGAAAACAGTCAAGGTCTAGTACCGTATGAAGGTAAGTTGTTCGTTGTGTTTCATTTATGGTGTTTTGCGTGTTAGTAATAACTGATACGAAATCCTAATCTGTTGAGTGCTTGTGGACTCATATGCTTTAAAACGTCCTAATGTAATGTGGCTGATTAGTTTAGGTTTTCAACTGCTGGCCACTACCTAAAAGTTGCCAGTCAACATTTACGCGGGTCAAAGCAAAGAGACATGTTGCAAATTGCAGTGAAAGCTTGGGGTGAAACGCCCGATTTTGCAACACTTCCACCTCCGTGTTCTGCACCGGTTTCCGCACAAATTTCTCCGCGTTTTTCCCTATGTGCCCCATGTTCCCTGGCGTTTCCTACAATTTACTCCCTGTTCTGGAAATGTCCCCAAAATTTCCCTGCAAAAATGTTGACTGGGTTCATGTTTGCTCAATTTATCTCCACCTAATTCTATAACTGGTTAGGCGTTCTCGTGGCTTAGTACATAAACTTGTAACAGGTTACTGGGTCACGCTTATCAAATTAACTGTTTGAAAAGCGAAAACAATCCATAAGGCATGTACTCAGATATCCTCATGATCTTCATAAAGTGTTTTTCAAAAGAATTCACTAAAGTTAGAGTGCTGATCTGTATTTATGAAGGATTTATTTTAAGCAAGTACAGTATGCTGACGAATGAGAATGCAGTAGTGTGGTGGAAGCTATGTTTAGGAATGCACATAAGTAGTGTACGAGGTGACGTCGGGAAACACAAGAAATGATTACAGTCGAATACTAAGAAAATCTCGTAAGAGCAATACATATTGTCGAGTAGAAGTATAAACCACATGAGAGTAAATTTACACTAAGCACAGCAAAGTATACTGAAGTGCAGCACAAGATTTTCATATTTTTATCACTACTTACTGTAGCTTTTCAGTGAGTATTGTTTGCTTCGTGCAACGGAGTTCTTGTTAGTAGATCTCCACAGGCTCATCTCCACCGATTGATGCGAGAAGACTGATTCCAGTTGGTGAGAGTAGCTCAAACGCAAATTGACAATAGTCTTCGTAATGATCACAATCAGTAATGGGTAGCAAAGGTGACAAGGACATCAGCACAAAGCAATCGTTAAGGCTTATTAAGGATACTGGCAAGAAGAAGATGATTGCCGGTGAGACCTTTGCGGAAAAAATGGATCCACGATAACCGTTGAGGACAGATGACTAGAATGTTGGGCGGAAGACAGTTCAACAGGTTCACAGCAGTCCTACAGTTGCCCAACGTTCAGTCCAAACCTGAGTGGTACGTAGATGTTGGTCTTGGAACTGTCCTCGAAGTTGAGAAGTCTTTTTTCATAACTGAAACACCACAAGTCAGCGGAACCTGACGGTTTTTCACGGAAGTTTTTAAGGAAGGAGGTAAGAAATTACTGAGTAGAGCAACGGAGTTACTAGGCAGTAAGTAGTGTATAGGGATCGGAATCGCGTCAGACTTTTACACGTGTTTGCATTTAATCTCATTCGTGTATTCATTTTGAAATTCACATACACTCAACTCTAGAGAGTATACTTGTATGGACACTTTTGTCTCTAATTTTCAGTACTAGTCAATTGATTTTCCAGTGGTAATACTGTTTTCGCATATAGCAAAGTGTAGTATCCAAACCGTGGAATAAGCTGAGGCATATGCATCACCGGTCTTGGAACTTGCTTTCACTCAGTAGATGTTGGTGTCCCTGACGGGTAGCTGTTACCTTGACGTAATGGTCGGGTTTGTATATCACAACGACCGAAAGAGGTACACTGGCTTGAACGCCTTTTACCTCGTGTCAAAAAGGTCTGTTGTATGGTGTTGAGACGACGAGCAGCTACTACACTACGATGGGGATCTGAGGGCGAATTCATACTGACGGCTGGATTGGGGTGTGCCAGGAGTAAGGTGTTTCCCTTGGACAACCAACAGTCCCATGCTGATGCTGCCTTTCTCATGGGAAGAGGGGGTTTAGAAAAGGTTGACCCCGTAAGTGTCACCCTCCTTTTCTCACAGTCTTCCAGTGCCGACGGGATGAGATTTTTCTATCTGGTGTTAAACCAATCAAATCTTACACCAGCAATCATCAAAAGGCTATATGTGACAGGCCTCAAGTGGATGTCCGATATGCTCTGTGGTCACGAAACTTTGTATCTTTCAAATACCTTAGAAAGAAATATCCTTCCGGGTTGTGGGAGGCCTAGAAGTGTCAACCTCCCTCATGCTCTCAGTAGTATTGAAGACCCAATCAAGTATGAACTAGGTCTCCTCCTTTGCCTTCACCTCATGATATCAAAATTAAAAGCCTCTTAGACCTTCCTCAACCTCTCAGTTCGCGACCATTGTCAACGATCAAAACCATTGGAAGCTCGTTTTGAGTCTCGTAAGACTCCGTCATCCATTTCACGTAGGAGCTTTCAACGTCCAAACTCTATGCCAAATCGGACAGCAAACATCACTCGCCAGGACTCTGGGATCTCTAGCTATATGTGTATGCCGTGTCTCTGAGACACTTATACAGGACCTGTGTTGTCATTAAATTGATCATTGCTGTAAATCTTCAAAATGTACTTTACTAGTATCCGAAGACCCAGTGGATAGCTATCGTGGGCTCCCTGGTGTAGACACAGCAATGAGCTGTAAAACAGAAAGTGCATTTCTCGACTGAATACCAGTCAACAGCCGTCTATGCGCCGTTCGACTGAATGGATCAGTAAAATCTAAGAAGGATCGTGAGACCAACTGATGCCTGTTCGTGGCCTCCACCTATTATTTATTTTTTTTATTAGTCCCTTGGGTTCCTAGTGGAACATAGGGCTTCAGTAGCACGCCTCCAGTGACCTCTGTTCTCCGAGATCTTTTGAACCTGGTTCCACGACAGCCCACAACCTCTCATTTCCTCCTCGCATGACCTCCTCCATGTCACCCTCGGACGTCCAACTCGTCGCTTCCCATGGGGATTCCATTCGAGGGCCTGACGCGTGATGTCCTCAGTCGGCCTTCTCAGTGCATGGCCAATCCATCTCCACTTCTTCCTGCATATTTGTTGCGTGATAGGTTCTTGGTTGGTTCGTTCCCAGAGTTCCTTGTTGCTTATTTTTTCTGGCCATCTGATCTTCAGCAGCGAGCGTAAGCAGTTGTTGATGAATGTCTGTAGTTTATTGGAAATCCCTTTCGTGACGCGCCAAGTCTCTGAGCCATACAAGAGCACTGACTTGACGTTGGTGTTGAAAATCCGTATCTTGTTCCACATGCTGAGTGCGGAAGATCCCCACACTGGTTTCAGGCTAATGAACGCCTGTCTTGCTTTTCCAATTCTGACTTTGACGTCCTCGTCCGTCCCGCCTGTAGTTGAAACAGTGCTTCCTAGATAAGTGAAGGAGGTTACTTCCTTCAAGTTTCTCCCGTTGACGGTGATTGGAGTTTGTTGTTGTTGTTGATGTTGGTGGTGCGGTATCTTCATCACTTCTGTCTTCTCTATATTCACCTGAAGTCCCGTCTTAGCTGCCTCTTCTGTCAACTTGTTAGTTTTTGCCTGCAGATCTTCAAGTTTATGTGACATTAGGCATAAGTCATCGGCGAAATCCAAGTCTTCTAGGTTCTTTTCCGTCGTCCAGTGTATCCCCCTCTTCTCGCTGCCTACTGTTTGCTGCATGATCCAGTCCACCACAATAAGGAATATCATGGGGGATAGTAGGCAACCTTGTTTCACTCCTGTCTTCACTTCAAAGGCATCACTGAGCTTCCCATTGTGGATTACTTGGCATGTAGCATCTTCATATAGTTGTTGAATGAGGCGGATAAAGGTTTGCGGTACTCCGTAGTATTGAAGCAGTTTCCAAATTACTTCTCGGTCGACGCTGTCAAAGGCCTTCTCAAAGTCGATGAAGTTGAGGTATAGAGCTGATTGCCATTCTACGCTCTGTTCTATGATGATACGAAGCGTTGCAATTTGGTCAGCACATGATTTGTACTTCCTGAAGCCTGCCTGTTCCGGTCGCAGTTTTGAATCCAGTGCGTCTTTAAGCCTCTCCAGGATGATGCGGCTTAATATTTTACTTGGGGTGGATAGGAGAGTGATTCCTCGCCAGTTCTTGCAAGCACTGAGGTCTCCCTTCTTCGGCAGTTTGACAAGGTAACCCTTCTTCCAATCGACAGGTACCTTCTCTTCCCTCCACACCTTCTGCAATAGTGGTGTGAGCATGTCCGCTGTTGTCTCTGCATCTGTTCTCAGTGCTTCTGGCGGTATTCCATCTGGTCCTGCTGCTTTCCCGCATTTCAGTAGCTTTATGGCGTTCAGGACTTCCATTTTCGTTGGGGGATTTATGTTCACTTGTAATTCAGCGGCTGCAGGTGGTATTTCTGGACGAAGTGCAGGTGGTGGTCGATTCAAGAGCTTCTTGAAGTGGTCGGCCCATCGTTTCCTCTGTTTCTCTTCTTTTGTAATTAAATTTCCTTCTTCATCTTTTATTGGTTTCATCTGTGTTGGTCTCTTCCCTGATAGCAACCTGGTTATTTGATACAATGTCGTCAGGTCTCTCTTACCTGCAGCCTGTTCTGCTTCACTTGCCAGTGTGTCGTAGAAGTGTCTTTTGTCTTTGCGTGCACTCTTCTTCACTTCTTTATCCAGTGTTTTATACATTGTGCTCAGTTCCTCTTGTCGTTGAGCATCCTTGCACTGGTTTATCTTCTGTTTCACCATCCTCCTCTCCTCTATCAGCTTCCAGGTATCCGTCGAGATCCATTCCTTGTCTTCCACCTTCTTCCTTCCTAATACTGTTGTGCAGGTTTCTTTCCACATAGCTTTCAAAGACTTCCAGTGTTCTTCTACACAGGTTTCTTCAGGGATGTCCCTCGACGTCTCCCATTTTGTCTTGATGGCTGCTTTGAAGGTCTCCTTTGTAGTTTCATCCTTCAGTTTCCGAGTGTTGTACTTGAATTGAGGTCTATCACCAGCTTCCTTGAAGGCTTTCAACTTGATTTGGAAGGTTCCTTGCACTAGATAGTGGTCTGAACCTACATCTGCTCCTCTTCTTGACCTTGTGTTAAGTAGACTGCGTCTCCATTTTCTTGAGATTGAGATAAAGTCGATTTGATTTTTAGTGTGTCCATCTGGTGAAGTCCATGTCGCTTTGTGAATATCCTTGTGCCTGAACACACTGCCTCCAATCACCAAATCGTTGAATGCGCAGAATTCTGCAAACAATTCTCCATTCTCATTCATTTCACCTAGCGCCTCTCGACCCATGGTTAGTTCTCTTCCCGTGTTGTCCCCTCCCAGTTTGGCATTCATGTCGCCCATTAGAATTTTGATATCGCCAACTGACGTCTTGTCCAGTGTTGACTGAAGTTGTCTGTAGAATTCCTCCTTTTTCTCTTGCTCTGCATTATTTGTAGGTGCATAACATTGTATGATTGTGACCTTTCTTCCTTTTGAGTTGAATCTTGCTGTCATGATCCTGGAGGAGATTGGTTCCCACTGCATGAGAGCCTTCGATGCTCTTGAGGACATCATGATAGCCACTCCCTCAGTGTGCTCGTGGTTGGCGTCTGGGTGACCAGAGTAGATTATTGATTCTCCAGTTGACAGTTTGGAGAGTCCACTCCCATTCCATCTGCTCTCGCAAATCCCAAGCACTTCGATGTTATACCTTCTCATCTCCTTTGCAATCTGGGCTGCCTTACTGGGTTCAAACATCGTGCGGACATTCCATGTCCCCACGTTTACTTTCGCTTTCATCGAGAGAAGACACATCGGCCAATTGGCTTCCCGAAGGCTTTCACCAACTGGCGTCATTTCGCCTCTCCGATTCCAGCGGGGAATAAGTTTGTTTTCATTTTTTATATTTTGTTTGTGCTTTGAAGTTTCTTTAGCGGTTAGATTTGTTTTACGGGGTAGGGTTGCTAGCCCTATGCCCAACCTTCCCTCTTTACCCGGGCTTAGGACCGGCTAGTAACTAGTAAACTAGTTAACCAGGCGAGGTTGGCCTCCACCTAAGCACTCATCAATTGTAGTTCGGATGATGTGAAGGATGAATTTGATGACAAGCTGTCAACTGTGCTACAGGTAACTAAGCGTCCAGACGTAGTCATAATGGCAAGTGACTTTGACGCTGAAGTAAGGAAGCTGATGCAATCGGAAAGGCATCTTGGAGGTAGGAGATCGCTCATTGGAGGAATACGTGTACTGGGTAGTGCATGGAAATCAGAGGCAGTCCCATCAGACTGGTCTTCTTCACTGATCATCCCAGTCTATAAGAAGGGAGAGAAATCTTCATGTGACAACCACGGGGAAATTAGTTTGATTTGTATGGTGTCCAAGGTCCTAGAATCTGTAGTTAACCGATGCCTCACTGGAGCTCAAAAACACTAAACTCGAGAAAATCAGGCAGATCTCAGACCTGGACGAGGATGCATCGATCAGATTTTCACTCTCCGACAGGTTCTGCAACAGGCGTATTCACCGACAATTGATACTTGTCATATTTGTTGACCCGAAGGCGTCATTTGATTTTGTCGATTGTGAGGTGTTGTGGCAGTGTCTGACTGTGAAAGGGGTACCGAGCAGGTATATCATGCTAATCTAAGCTCTCTACTCAAACTCACGCAGCCGTGTAAAAGCTTACTCGATATAGAACACAGTGATGTGATGGTATATTTACTGGATAACGTTGCGGGCACAACTTATTTCTCATCATATCAAGGTAATTCGAGAGCTCGTTGGCCTAGTTTTTACAGTCTTACCGCTTCTTGTTCTCTGACTTCATTTGTAGTTGAACTTTCCATACATGTGGGATCAGTGTTAAATCATTATTGTTGCACGTGTTAGGCGTCGAATCGATGAAGAAGGATTCAGCAACCAACCTCTGCATCCACCTAACTACATTAGCCATCGTGGAGCTGTGGTGTGGTTCATTAGTTTTAGGAGGTGATTCTCAAGCAATGGATCACGGTTTCGAATAGCGCTTCACCTATGGGGGTTTTGGCAACCAGGTGGTATCATTAAGCCTCACACAATAAGTGTGGCTCACTGCCTACTGCACGACTGTGGGTAAGGTTATTAATTGTTCTTCGACTTCGACATGAGTCTTCACAGAAACTGGTCAGGCTACCAGTGGAAAACTGTTGTGGTCGTGGAAGTCTGTGAATCAAGTTTGCATTGTGGTCGTTAGGCTAAGTGATCTAATACTGAGGTGCTCTGTTTTTTAGTGTTAGTTTGAGGCCAGTCAGTCAGCGGGAATTCGTGGACCAAAGCCTCGTGTTTGTTGACATCCCGTCAGCAAGGCATTTCTGTGGGAATGAAGAGAATTCAAAACTAGTTTTCTCAATAATGCAAATTTTGACGTTGAAAGCATTGAAATTTGTCATTGGTTTGTCAGAGTGGGTGAATTAGCATCATCCAGACATCAGCATAAACATGTTGTTTTCTTTTTTTCTCTTTCCACCATCACAGCGTTTGTTCGTCGTGTCATAAGCTGAGAAGTTCAATGTGAAGGAGGTTGATCTATCCACCACATCCCTGTAATTCTCGCCTAAATGATCTGGATTCTTTTTGATAATATGTGAGATCAGCACAACACTTATTTGTTGCATTATTCCACTAAGATGTATATCAGGACAACATGCGCTTTTTCAATCTATGAAGTAGACTGTATCTTGCTTGATTTTTAGCTTTTATTCTGACGGTATTTAAATGTGAACTGTTCAGTGTTTCCAATGCACAGTGAAATATACAGTTTTTAAAGACAGGGAGAGTATATTTTTCTGTTCATTAGTTGATGCTTGAAATAATAATATCCGAGGATTTGAGGCGGGCGATTTAATCTGCACACAGTGACTTAACTAGAATTCATATGCGCATTGTGTCTTTCTTTTCAGTTGAAGTTGATTAGTTGCAACAACTTGTTTGTGTAGCTTAACTTCGTGGTAGGTTTGGAGTCAGTGATTCGAGATGTTAGATGATTCGGCTTAAAATGGATTACAAAGACACCTAATTTTTTATTCCTTGTTTTCCTAAAGGTCTTGTTACATGTTTGTGTGAAGTATACTAGTGACTGGTAGGAGTCTTTGTTGACTACTGACACCGATCAGCAGTGGTTAGTAGAGACCAAGGTGATCTAAGCACTGGACTACGGTTTGGCTTGTTTTTGGGTGGGTGTTTCAGTTGAGGGCACGGAATTGTTCAAGCCAGCCAGATTCTGACTGGCTTCTTGATTGGACCGGTCACACCCGAGAATCAGTTAAGTTGAGTGTGTATTTTACGAACGCCTGACTTAATCCTAATTGCATCATCTCACTTCAGAGTCATTTGTTTTGTTGCTTGTTTTGTTTCAACATCTTCCTTGTTTCTCGATTCTGTTTGTCTGTACTGTTGTAAAATGGAAGGGGAAGTTGAGGTGTTGAGTTTCTGTGATATCGGCCAGAGTGTGTTGTACCTGTCTCACTGTTTAACTTCGTGTTTATAAAATCATTTCTACTAAAACTTGGTGCTAACGTGTATTCAAGTTAGAAAGTTTTATTTGTGCTACGCTACGGTATTTGTAAATTTTCATATTTCAAGTATTGTGCATCTTGCCAACTGTTATCACCAATTAAGTTCATTTATTGATCTGAAAGTGTCATTATATTGTGTGTAGAGTATTCTATAGTGTTCTGTTTGAGTGGGTGTTAGCATCTCTCAGCCTAATAAGGCTTAATTTATTCATTCAAATTCTTTCAACCTACAACTGAATAGACGGTAGGCATTTATTGATCAATAACCACCCACCTTCACAAGTCACTAGAGTGAAGGAGTGCCTAGCAGTGATTCAGCATCTAGAATAAGTGACTACCTGCATATAATACTGTACAGCTGGTGTTGGAGTTTTCTCGGCATGCGTCAGCATTTTCTTGAGCGAATTGGTGTATGTGTGACAGTGTGTATAGAATAGCAAGTGTATGTGTTTTTGGTTTGAATGTTAAGTTTCTTGAATATTGATGGTGAGGTGTATCATAGCTTCTCCTATTTTCAAATCAAATCAGGATTAGTCGGTTGTCTGAAGTCATTGATGGTCATTGTAGAGTGATGAGCCGGTCGTGCTTTGAATATTTCACCGACTCAAATAATCTCACCTCTGTTGATTGCCAAGTTGAAATGAGATCTGATGTGACTGCTTGTTGTGGATACAGATTGCGTCTTCTTCGACGTGGTCAGTCATGTAGTGTCGTTAGCATTCATAAGAAATGTCGTCTTAAGTCCTCTGTCCCCCTATTGTGTGGATATGCACTCAGTTAGCTAGTAGCATTTTCACTTACCGATTGCATCCGTGTACTGTAGGTTTTGTTCACCTGGCGTTCTGAAATTGTCCTGACGACAAAATATTCTAGAAGGTAATGTCATTTTCTTGCTTTTAGATTCACTATTGGTGTCAGACACAAAAAATCAACGTGGAACCTCGCACACAGGTGCATTGGGTCAAGTTGTTACACTTCATGGTAGTATACAAGGAACAGATGGATACAAAAAGGAGTGATATCAAAGGTGTATGGGAGAATAAACAATTTGAAGATAACGGATGGTGGAAATACTCAAACTTGTACATGTTATTTGAGCAAGCTGCAAAACAGTGTTGACTGAGATGGCGAGGCCATGTTTGTGTGTGTGTTGTGTCGTAGTAGTGGGGATAGTAAGGAAATACGTTTAGACAGCCAGATCAAGATATCCAGATAATTTGTGTTTCATAGGCAGTATAGTTTATCTGGTCAGGTCGACTAAGTGCTTTGTTCACTGTCTCTTTTTCACTGCACCAAGAATTTGGTTATTTGCTTTGACTCAAGGGTATTGAGTTGGATTTTGGTGCAATGCAAGAGCCTTTTTCGAAGTGAATAAATTAGTGTATTTTGAGCAGTATATGATTGTGGGGATGCAAATAACTAAGGTTTGAGTAGCAGCAGATATTCAATCTGTGCAGTCATTTGCTGCTTTGAATGTGTTTTGACGCGATGTTTTAAAATGCGGATAAAGATGTCAGCGTAAGTGGCATAGAATTTGTACGTGAGATGAAATTTGTCGGATGTACAAGTGTAACCGAAAGGTGTCGATTACCGTGTACATTCACAATTTGTGATTTGGTTTGGGGTAGTGTAATATGTGGGTGAATGCAAAGCTGAAATATGTGGTTAACATCACTAACACTACAAAGGGAGTTGATAGGATTACATAAAGTTGTACTGTCCACTCGTGTGAAAGAAGAGATGGAGTGATGCTGTGGCAAGACTGCATGAATTTAACTTGGAGTGGAAGTGGTATAAATATTTTGTTAAACTAACTTGTGTTTGCAGTGCAGATAGGATTGTAGTTCTGATTGTGTGACCGACGGAATAAGATGTAGCTGAACTCAGGTGTCCATATAGTACCGCGCTAAATGGGAATGTTGACAATGTGATTAGTGTTCTGCCAAGTTGTGAAATGGTCGATTTCACACTGGTTGTTTATCACTAGCTGATGACCGAGACACAAGTCGATGATTTCCTTCATAAAACTTCTTCCTGGTAAGAGAGGTTAGCTGACTTTCATTCTTATGAATGATATGGTTTTAGCCAATTTGTTTACTGGGGGAATACAAAGTGTGGTCGGGACAGGTTCTTGAGTCCAGTGATTGCTGTAAAATCAGATAGATTGGGGCCTTCATTTCCTCAGTCGCCTACAACCCTGTAACGGGCTACTGGTTATTTGAAGGTCAGATGATCGCTGCTTCACTGTGGTCATATTTTCGTGTTATAATTTAATTGATAAATGTCTTTGCCTTGTTGTTGTCTGGACATTGTTAGAAGTATAAACAGTCGGTGGGGTTACAATACAATCTTTCGACTTAACCTAGACAAAGCCAGTCGAATCAGCCCACCCATATACCCAAGTTACGGTTGCAACAAGTAGCAACAAACTTCCCTGGTATTGTTGGGTCAGCGAAATGCTACTCAGAGGATGGATCTAAATGGGAAATTTGTGATTATTTCAGCTGTCAGTTGTTAGTTGGTTGAGGTGTGTTTCTTACATTACTAAACTAAGAACCCAATAGCCACTGTAGATTAGAATAGTGTGTTCAGGTGAAAGTGGTCTCGCCGGTTTAGTTTAGTTTTACTCTAGTTTGCATAATCATGGATATTGTTCACTTGAGAAATAAGTGTGGCCATTGTCATCAATATTCGTGTCTGAAACAAACACCACAAGTGTAATTGAAATAAATTTTATTGAGTCCACTGAATGCTTATGGCAAGTAACAAGAAGTTTCGATGTGGACACGTCTACATTGTATGACAATTTGTATTCTCTCTTCAGTTGTTTGTTAGTGGAGTGTGTTTACTGTGTACCAGGTTTTCGTCTTTGGCAAGGAGGAGTGTCAAGGTGCTTAAAATGTAGCATACAGTTTAAGTTCTTTAGTGTTATTGATATTCTGAGAGGACGTTGGAATGATTCTGTTTTGTTGCCTTCGCTTCCACTTCACGCTCGATTCCAGTGGAAACGAAATGAGTTTTATGGTGAGATAGGACGGAAAGAAATCTGGAAACCAGATGTTTGAGTAACGCAGGCCAATTCAAGTTGAAATTAAGTTTACAGTCTAATTTTAGCAATAGTACTTTCAAAAAGATGAATCATAACATGAAGTTTAAAGATGCAAGTGAGTCGAAATCAAAGAATGACTGACTGGCGGGAAGTGACAGTGTTAGTAAGATGTGAACTGGTTAGACGGTCAAGTATTTTTAACGAAGATGCATAGTGTGGCAAGAGAGATGAGTGAGTAAGGTGATTCACACTTGTTTGTTGACAGTTGTCAGTGTGCGTTGCCGAGGGAGTTTGGAAGCCAGTGAATAGCCTTTTCTGTACTTCTGCAAACCTTATTCAATGAGCAAGTTGTTTGAAAGTATGTGATATGGCACAAAATGTTTTGGGCTTATCAAAGTGGCCGAGTACGGCATGATGGGTTGCGCGTTTGGAAGCTGTCGTTGTGGACCCATAACATATGACACGTCACGATATGCTGGATACCGACCGATGTTCCCACACTGCCGACGGACACGGAAGAAAAGATGTATTCCTTCGGGAGAAAGCTATTATCAAGTAAGAACAGAGCTGTTTATGTAGTCATTTTAGTGAACCAATGACTGCCAGGTTTAATACAGAAGAATTTCCACCCCAAATCTATTGGTCAATAGTTGGTTGGTTAGTTGTCAATAACGCGCACAACCTTTGACCGAGGTTAAGCACGAATATTTAGTTTACATTTTATGTGGAGGAAGTTGACGACTAACCTGTCTTGTTTTCCGGTCTAACGCATTTCCCCACAAAATCGAGTTACCGGCCATCTTTCTATTCTTCTGGTGACACGTAAATGTGGACTTGTGTCGGTCGTTATCAACATCCTCGACCGTAGCATTAGGGCATGACGGTTCTAGTTGCCACAACTCAGGTCAAGAAATAAGGAAGAAAGTAGTCAGAACTCGTAAGAAGAGAACGAGAAAGAGTAAAACGATATTGTGACTCAGTGGATTCGATTCTGACTCATATCTCGTAGAGTCCTCGGTTATGGTAATGACGTCGACACCGAATGGGAAGTCTACATTTCCGCATACGGTTCAAACCGACAGTTGAAGACTTTATGGAGTGGTACCATGCCTGTGTCTGGTCACCTGTAACCCTTCCCCAACCCAAACCCACTTCAGCTATCACTGTGCGATGAGGTAGACGATAACTAGGCACGCGGAACCTATGTCCC